TGCTGATGCAGTCTGGTAGAGCTGTTGCTTTTGCTTCGAGGCAGTTGAAGCCTCATGAGGAGAACTACCCGATTCATGATTTGGAGTTGGTTACGATTGTGTTTGCTTTCAAGATTTGGAGGCATTACCTGTTTGGATTGAGGTTTGTGGTGTTCAGCGACCACAAGAGTTTGAAGTACCTGTTCGACCAGAAGGAGTTGAACATGAGGCAGAGGAGATGGATGGAGTTCATAAAGGACTACGACTTTGAGCTAAGGTATCATCCTGGCAAGGCCAATGTGGTAGCCGATGCTTTGAGTTGGAAATCCAGTAGTTCATCCAGTTTGCTACTTGGTAACTTCGATGTGGTTGAGAAGTTTCGCCACTTGGCAGTGACCGCTCCGTGTGCGAGCGTACTTCTCGGGTTGGAAGCATCTGATGTTGTGAACGAGCTGCTAGAAAAGATTAAAGAGGCACAAGTTCAGAGAGAGTGTCTGGATTATGTGAAGAACCAAGACGGTGTGTCTTGGAATGATGATGGATTGCTTTTGTTCCAGCGGAAGATTGTGGTTCCTCGTGGTCCGTTGACAGAAGAGGTTATGGCAGAAGGCCATAAGGGTCAGTTTTCTATCCACCCTGGTGCTACTAAGATGTATCAAGACTTGAAGAAGAACTTCTGGTGGCCGGGCATGAAGAAAGATGTTGCCATCTTTGTGTCCAAGTGTTTGGTTTGCCAGAAAGTGAAGATTGAACACCAGAAGTCGTCTGGTAAACTTCAGCCTCTTGAGATTCCATAGTGGAAATGGGAGAGCATTTCCATGGACTTCGTTGTGGGTCTGCCGAAGACTCAGGTTGGCTGTGACTCGATATGGGTCATTGTGGACAGATTGACGAAGTCTGCCCATTTTCTTCCAGTGAAGGTGAGCTTCACTACAGAGCAGTTGGCCAGACTGTATGTTCGCGAGATTGTGAGGCTTCACGGGGTACCCGTGAGTATCATCAGTGATAGGGACCCGAAGTTCACATCTCGGTTCTGGGAGGCACTGTAGGGAGCTTTTGGTACGCAGTTGAGACTGAGTACAGCCTATCACCCTCAGACTGAGCGGACTATCCAGACCTTGGAGGACATGTTGTGGACTTGCACGTTGGAGCAGAGCTCGGCATGGGATAGGTACCTTCCATTGGTAGAGTTTTCTTATAACAACAGTTTCCATGCTAGCCTGGGCATGGCACCCTACGAGGCGCTCTACGGTAGGAGGTGTCGTACACCTACCTGCTGGTCGGAGGTTGGGGATAGTGAGTTGTTTGGCTTGGACTTTGTCCAAGATACCACCCTACAGATCCAGATGATCAGGGAAATGCTGAAGCAGGCGCAGAATCGTCAGAAGAGCTACTACGATGTCAAGCATCGACCACTGGAGTTCAGTGAGGGTGAGCACGTGTTTGTGAGACTTTCACCTGTCACCGGTGTTGGACGGGCACTCGGAGTGAGGAAGCTGAGCCCGCGGTTTATTGGGCCATACCAGATTCTTGGTAGAGTAGGACATGTTGCCTACCGGCTTGCCTTGCCTCCGAACCTGGCCAACATCCACGACGTGTTTCACGTGTCTCAGCTTCGGAGGTACATAGCAGATCCTTTGCACGTGGTGCAACCGGATGATGTGGAAGTTCGGGAGAACTTAAATACTCCCGTAGGTCCACTAAAGATTCTCGATCGTGGCGAGAAGCAGCTGAGGAGCAAGATCATTCTGATGGTCAAGGTGCAGTGGACTGGAAGGACTCCTGAGGAGTGTACTTAGGAGCGTGAGGACGAGCTTCTCCGGCAGTACCCCGAGTTTGGACCAGGTATGTTTCTGATTTTGAGGTCAAAATCCTAAAAAGGTGGGGTGAATGTAAGAACCCGCACCGTTAATTAAGGTATTTAATTAATTAATTATGAGAAATTAGGAAATGATTACATAATTGACTCTAATAATTATTATGAGGCTTTAATAATTATAGTAAGTGAGTAATAATGCTGAAAGTCGCTTTTCGGAAGAAAAGTGCAGATACCGGTTCTGCTAGTCGGTATAAATGCGTACAGAAAAAGTATCCCGAAAAATTAATGTAAGTGCATGATAATTACTAGAATAATATGTAGGACTTGTAAAACGAGTTTCAAGTCCAGATAATGAGAACTGGTGTTAGAAACCGGTACTGGCTTGGAAAAGCGCGTACCGGAAAGGTGCTCAGAAAATTATAAGAAAAATATGATAAATCTTAGAAAATTATGTAGTTTCATAATCCAAAGTTTGGGATTAAAATTCTAAGCGTAGCAATTAAAGTTAATACTGTGTGTTTTATGGCTAAGTGGCTATATATATGCATTTTAGCACATAACCCTAGGCATACCAGAATTCCTACGTGAAGCTCTTGGTGGGTTGAGGGTGGGTTACTGTTCCATTGCCTCCTCTCACCATTTTTGAACTCAAGTTGTCACCTTTACTTGATTTCTTCCCTCTTTGAGCTTGTATACACTTAAGAACATGCATGGTGAGGAAGTGTGAGGGTGTATTCTGAGTTTCCATCCTCTGTGTGTGGGTGAGGGTGCTGGTTTTGGGTGGTTTGGGTGCTGAAAGCCATAGTCATGGCATTTTGAGGTCCAAGTGGTGACCTTTGATGAGAAGAACCAACCTTTGTGAAGCCATTTTCGTGCATCTTCCTTGAGTCAGAGTTGAGGGGCTGTGTTGAGCTCCAAGAGCATCTCCTTTCTCTGTTTTAAGCCTTTGGTATGTATACCAACCTTTGATCATGAGTTTAATGCTTAAAAATGAAAGCTTGATGCATGTTAAGGCTTAAAGATGATAACTTGTTGTTGAGTAATGTTGAACACACCTAGAAATGTATGTTTAGGTGCTTTAAATCGGTAAAAACCCAACCTTGGAATGATATCTTCACGAAATGCATTTTCTGCATTAGTTTTGGCAATAGTATTCAAATTGTCTTATTCAGGTCAAACATTGATATTTAGACCTACATAGGTCAAAAAACCGAACATTTAAGCTTCCATGTCACCAAGGGTTGGATGCACAATTATATGTGTGATATTTTAGTACATGTTTCACCCGCATAAATTCGAAATATATGATTAGGGGTGTACAAAAGAACAAAAAAACTGAACTAAACTAAATTGCACTTAAAATAACTGGTTTTTAAAACCAGTTCATGTTTTTAAAGAATCAGTTCATGAACCGAACTGGTTTTTAGAAAACAGTTCAAGAACCAAACCAATTTTAAAAAAATCAGTTCATAAATCGAATTGTACTTTTTTTCATTTTTCATTTTTTTTCTCTTTTTTCTCTCTATTTTTTTTATTTATTCATTTATTTAGTGGCTTCTTTTATCTTTATTTTAATTACTTTATTTCTTTTATTTTTTTTTATTTTTCTTTTCTTTTCTTTTTTCTCTTATGTATTTTTCTTTTCAACTATATATATACGAAGGTATGTCTTTGAGAAAAGTCATTAACAAATGCTCATAGATCTTTAGTACAAATTGTACAATAGATCTTCATGCTTTTTGGTATTATTACACCCTCTAATAAATTATGTAATGATCTTCACCAACCTTTATGATATTTCAAATAAAAATATTTGAGAATGATGCAATTCAAACTAGTTCAGAATCGATTCTAGCTCAAAATAGGTTCGACCCTAACTGGTTTCAAATCGATCCTAACTGGTTCTAGTTCCAAATTAAAACAAACTGTTTTCGAACCGAACTGATTTGGGGTTAAAAAAAAAATTCTTTGAACCGAATTGATTTAAATGAATTAAATTCTTTAAAAAAATTCAATTCAATTCGACTCATATAAACCTTCATTTAATTACATTTATCCTTTCCGGTTTCTCATTTGTAACAATGCCAAATGAATTCCATGTTAATATACATTACATGGTTTTGTTGCTAGCTTTTTAGTCGTAATTTAATCATTTCTTTAGTAGATTTTAAATAGAATATTATTTTAAAAAAATGAATATTCTAAATTATTTGCATATTGTTTATTTTAAATTATCAACGTTACGTAAACGTTTCACATAATTTCATATATTATAAACTATTCTTTAAAATTTTATTTGGATAAACAAAGTTTTGAGAAGAGGGACCTCAAGTGAAAATGGGAATCCTCATCTGCACATTGCATCCACTACAAAACTCTAATTATACAATGACAAATTGTAGGATTAATTATAAATCATTAATTCGGTTACCTCAAATTTTAATGTATTAAATTTAATTCCGATAAATACAATTTATATAAGGCTTTAATGTTTTTACAGTGAACGTAGATAAATTATCTACATTTTCTCTCAAAACGACGTTGTTTTGAGTTAAAAAATTAAAAAACTATAACAAAAAAGACTATTATAACCCTTAAATAAATTATAATTACAAAAATACCTTGATTTCTGCCTCAAAACGACATCGTTTTGAGCTAATGTAAATAAGTTATCTACATTGATAGTCGAAAAAGGCTACTCTTTATATAAATAAAAATTACATACGATTTGGACATATATATTTGATGTCACATCTATGTGCTTATTAGAGACTCAGTGACAACGAAAAAAAAAAAAAAAAAGTAAATCACTGTTTGAACATTGAACATCCAGTAAAAACAGTTCATCAAAAAGAAGCATGAAAAAAAACAAGAGTAAATACTTTTTTGAGTTCCTGACAAAAAATACGGTCCCCATTTTAGTCTCTTACAAAAAAAATTAGTCGACTGGTCCCTATGAAATTCAAAGTGAATCCATTTTAGTCCTTTTGAGGGACTAATATGGATCTTTTTTGAATGTGAGTATCACAATTTCAACTAAATGGGTCCACTTTGAATTTCTTAGGAATCTTGAGAGTAATTGTTTTTTGTAAGGGACTAAAGTGGGAACCGTGTTTTTAGTTAGGGACCAAAAAGAGTATTTACTCAAAAAAACAAAGCACAAAAAACAAAACATCAAAGAAATAAACAAAGATTAGGTTATTATGCTGAGGGAGATCAATACATACTTAACTTAAAAAGCTAATACTGTCACCAGTGATGAAAGTGTACAGAAAAAAGTTTCCTTGAAGGATGAAAACAATAAGTTCATTGTGTTTCCCCCAGTACAGGGCACTCAGACAAATAAGAACAGTTTTTTTTTTTGGATAACAGAACAGTTTTTTGTTGTGATGAACTAAAGGAACAAAGATCTCAATTCAACAAGGTACAAATACAGTACATACACACCTTCACTCCTGAATCTGAACAGGTTCAAAACCCCTCTCAATTGAAGCCTTCACAGCATCCAATACAAGTTGTGTTTTCCTACTAACTGCTGGCCACTTCTTCTCAGGTTTCGAGTGGTTGAATTTAATTTCAGCCACCAAACGGGCAAATTCTCTTACCATAAGAGCCTCCTGAGGGAGATCAGTGTTTATTGTATGCTTACTTGGCTGTGAAGCCCACTTTGTCACAAGTTCATCAAAGCCTGATTCTGAAGCTGCATAAAATGAAGCCTCCTTCTCTTCATAAGGGATAATAAAGTCATGAACATGTAGAGTTCCTTTTGTCCCAACAGCAGTTATATCCATTGTCAAGTTTGACAAGAAGGAGCAATAGAAGGTAGCTACTTTCCCATCTTCCCAGTATAAAGAAGCCCCACAAGACATTACCACACCAGCTTTATTAAGCTCAGGCTCGCGCGATGCTATTACAGTTTTAGGTAATTCATAGTTTGCTGCCCACAGAATTGCCCTGAGACAATACCACCCTTCATCACCCAGAGCGCCAAGAGCATCAAGATCAGGCTTCACACGAATGTCATTCTCGAGGAAATCAGCATTAGTAGAAAATGTAAAACAAGTGTGAATCTGTCAAACCCAAAAAGAAACGATGTATCAATGTTAGAACATGAAAGCATAATAAAGTATTATCAATCTTTTAACAAACCCCCTGCCCAATATTCTAACATGGCTTAGTCTGAGCCTTTCACGAAGGCCTTTTAACTTATCTTTTAATTTATTGGGTACTTTTTAAAGTCCAAACAAAATGCGTTTTTGCATTACAAGCATCAGTAAAGATATGAAGTATTACAGAATGGAGCTCCATAATTACAGGAATGAGATTGTTAGGCTATCAGGATATATCTTCTAATATCATTATTATGACAATGCTTCACAATGCCAAGTGCCTTCTACAAAATATGACAACGATGAGGCACCATTGCATACTAAAATGCTAAGCAAGCAGCTACAGGTTTCAACATCGGATGACCAAAAACTCAACAAGGAAGTGGCAAGTAGAAGACGATAAGGAAAACACAAAATCAACTTCTGCCTTTGATAATATTTCAAAAGTTATCTTGATCACTCACATGTCATGCAGGAAAAGTAAATATGAAGCAGATTTAATTAATGAAGTTGAAACTAAGCCAAAACATACAAGCATTGTGAAAGAAACCCAATCACTGTATCACTTTTAGGGGTTCAAAATTCAAAAAATCAGATAATACAACTCATGCTTCTCAAATGAAAAATTAACGTAGCACCACTTTACATTCGCCAGATAAACCTTCACCCTTCTCTTATACCTCAAGAATTTCCCAATTTAAACCTGGATCTATTCGTCAAAAACCAACTCTCCCAAAAGCTTGAGATGAAAGCTTATGAATGGCAACGCACACCCAACAGAGTAGTGGGTGGACCATTCACATGCCTATTTTACCTTGCACTAAAATTCAACTTTTATGTAGAGGAGGGGCGAAAGGATCAAACTCGTGATAACTACTTGGTCAGATAGACTTTGATACCATATCAAAGACTAACTTCTTCAAAAGAAAGAACTTAAAAAGTAGGATTGTATTATGTGAAAAAATTGTATATCACAAACAACTGTACAAAAGCTCTCTATTTAAAGAGACTAAATGATCTAATGAGCTAAACCCAAAGAAGATTCTAAAATACAACTCTCTATTTAAAATAAAAAAAATATTATTATTTACAACAGATTCTAAAATCGTTACAGCATATGGTCACAATTCCACAATCACAAGCAAAAAGAAAAATAGAACATGCAGTGAGTGGGAGCCATGATTGGGACTGGATTTTCGTGGGGGAGAGATACAAAATTTCTTTTTTTAAATCTTTCCATATAAAGTTGCTAAAGGACTGAGAATCATGAAGGTGCAAGAGGTTACCTTGCTTTATCCTACATGCATGTAGCTTTCCCAAAAGTTATGAAGTTTATGGGCAAATTCTACAAAGGGGAGAAAGTGAGACGGTTAAACGTGGTGGTCAGACTTTTGTGAAGGGTGCTAGGTTTACATGCTGTGATAACAAGAAGGAAGTCCAGAGGAAGAGAGAGGACACTCTCCACCATCTCAGTTTTATTGCCTTTTTTATTTCTCTCTCCATCTCTTTTTTTTGGGGGTTATAAAGTGTTACAATACAACCCACTTCAAGAACAGTAAAATTACAGAAGTCAATTAATGGGATCAAGAAAATAGTCAAAATACAAGTGCATATTACTGACATATTTCGAACAGTACAAGGAATTAATATAACCAACAAACAGGAAACCAACAACTAATACAACTCATATACTGAAATACAATTGGAACAATTATGGCAGGAAGTTACAAAGTTACAGTGAAACAAAGAAAGAAACTATTATGAAGAGCAATTAGAGAGAGCTCTCCACTCTCCCAAGTCCCTGACCCACACAAGACTCTTGATGATTCTCACGCTCCCTGCCTCCCCAACAATCAGTAGTAAGCTGTGTCCCCCTTTCCTAATGAAAATGCAACAGCTAGTTCATTCTTATTGCCCAAATTAGATACAATTTGCATCATAACAAAGTACTCATCTTTGATACCACGTTTATCAAGTTGTGCTTCTACCCACATTTTGCTCTTTAAAACATTTGTTGCTTTTAACCGCTCCTCGGGTAATTCATGATTTGACTTTCAATCCATTATCACACTAATCAAAGCAACAAGGGTGTTAAGACAGTCCTCAACTATAAGATTTGATTACTCTCCTTCAGTAATCCCAAGTACACATAGTTCACCTGGACTACTGTCTACAACATCCACGCCTTCTAGCTTAGAATTAGCCACCTTATTTCTACAAACAACAACTCCACTGAATAGACTAACATCCAAGGTAGTGCAGGCACTTGTAGCAATGGCACTATGCGAAAGCTATGAAACACGGACACCTCCGACACTCCAACATGCGTTATAGAAATTCAAAAGAAAGTTTAAAGGATGCATTGCGTTGAGTTTTTAGTTCCAACTATTAGATTTTTTGGATTACGATTATCATTTTATTGAGTTTAATATAAATATTTGAGATATCTTATGCTTCTTTGCAAAATTGATGAATATTATAAGTTTAGTTTCATTTTTTTGTTAAATTATTGAATATTAAATATAATATACACTATATAAATTAAAAATATTATTTAATATCAAAACGTGTCCTAACGTGTCGAAATCTAACATTTTTTAGAATTAACATGTCGGACTGTCGTGTCGTATCGTGTCACATGTCCTGTGTCGGTATCGGTGCTACATAGTGCGAAAGTTCATTGTAGTCCACAAAACCATCATTGTCATCTTGGCCCCTTAAAGTTGAAATACAATCAAGCAACTAATTCCTTCTTTTCAATGGAAATGGTGCTCGTGCTTCACTTCTTGCAGATACAATGTCAGCATTACCTAGTAAATCAACTGTCATGATGACATCTTGGTTTGCTCTGGGATGATGCCCATTTCTTTTGGCCTCAATTACTATTGATGAGGCAAACTTAGTAGCATTCATTAGAGCCAAAACAACATGTATATAATTAGAGTATTCTATTGTTAAACTATCATAGGATAATGATGCAACAATAGGTCCATTAACCGCGAAATCTAAGAAAGGAAATGATGAACAAAACTCTCAACTAAAATCTGATTAGAACATTTTTTTTTTGTGTTTATTCTAACCAAAAAATAATTTTTCAGACTTTATTGAACAACAGACTTCTCATCTTCATCACATTGTCTTTTTGCCAAAAGGTAATAACTATCTTTGGCAAAATCTTCATAATACCTTCCAAATCTCTTGTAATTTTGAGCCCAACAAAACAAATTTAATGGAGAGATAAATTTATGTTTACCAGCAAGGACTCTGCACTCTCAGCTAAGCTGATTATGGGAACAAAACTTCTTCATGACTTCAACCGTTGCTTTTGCTGGTCTCCCTTCCTCCTCCCTTGGCACCATTGTCTCTTCAGCGTTCTTCTCATCTTCCACCACCATTAGCTGAAATGATCTTGATTTGCTACGAGGTCCAAGTCATACTTAATCTCGGATAGCGGCGCGTAGCGGCTAACCCTCCAAACTGGTATAGCGCTATAGCGGGTAGCGCTACAATGTTACTATGCAAAGTGTACCTAAGTGATACACTAAATTGTACTCCACAAATATAAAACTCAAAAAATGAAAATGTGACAAAAAATAAATTTGAAGGATCTGAAACTCAAACATAAATGATTTCAACCATTAAAATTCAAATCATAAGAAAATTGAACGAATTAAAGTCCCAAATAATGTAACACAACAAAATAAAGTGGCAAAATTAGTCAAAATTCAAACTGCCACTTAAGTGAGATGCCAAATCAAAGAACTTAAGGTTTGTCTCGGAAGCTGAAGAAGGTTCTAGAATCGAGGAACGACACCCCTAATCCCTTGTCTTTGCTCAACACGCTCTCTTCCTTCTACAACGAGAACACTTTTGCAGAAACTACTGTAGCTGCACAATAGTGCTGCAATTTCAGCCTCAATAGCAGCCGCTACACTTCGCCTGACAGTCGCGGCGCGGCGTGTGGCGGCTGGCCGCCGCACCGCAATGCAACTCCTCTATAGCGTGCTAAAGCGACGCTATTCACAAGTATGGTCCTAGTTGGAATTTTTCATTAAAGCTGAAACAAAGCCCCTTTCTACATTGTTGTTGTGGTAGGTCTCCATTGTTTTTCGAACGTAATAGCCAGCCTTGAACCCTTGTAAAGTTGTTATTGATCGTGGGCCTTGGGCACCTGACAAAGCAAGATATATGGGTCGCGGGTCAAAATGATCCGAGCCCACTAAAAGGATCCCCTTCTTTACTGATCCAGTTCGCCTCACTATTGGAACTCCCACTATGGCCATGCTTTTGGCCTCGATTCTTTACGACATCTCATTCTTCTTTGATATGAATACTTCGTTATCCACCTCCATCAATTTTGGTGGTGGTCGTGCCTCCTTTATCGTAGAGTCTTCCATGAATGCCAAAAATCATTGAATTACATCCAACTCGAAACTGCAACCGTGTAACTTCTTTGGTTCAAAGCTTCCACCCTAGATACCAGTACCAAGCTTCTCCTTGCAAGGCTCTTCTCACTTCTGACATTCACACAACTTCCTATTTGTAATTCTTGCAAAAATACCACTCTATCCAATGTAACCCTTCATATACATCTCTACCAGAAAATACAGGAATCGTCATTTTGTGAAATTGATTCTCCACTTTTATTTTATTTACTAATCGGTTGTTCAAAGATTCCCAAATTAGAGAGCTCTAATATCAATTGTTGCAACCCACTCAAGAATAGTAAAATTACAAAAGACAATTAATGGGATCAAGGAAATACAAACGTATACTACGGAAACATTTTTGAACATTACAAGAAATTAATACAACCAACAAACAGGAAATCAACAACTAATAAAACTTGTTGAGATATATAGTCCCACATTGGTTGCATGTGCAACTAATGTGGAGTTTATAAGGTCTTGGGCACTCCCACCCTTTAGCTAGCTTTTGGGGTGGTGTATCCCAAGGTTCTT